TGCTCATTTCTGACTGTGATCGTTTCTAGTTCTTCCTGGCCCCCTTGGTGGCCAGGAAGAGGCCCAGGGATAGAACAATCCGAAACGGAAGGATCTCGGCCCCCTCGAAAAATCAAAGAGCCTCCGAAGCCTTCGAACTGAAGAATGGGTACCTCCCCGAGCCGACCTCGCGCTTCTTCCTCGGCTCGGCCGTGCCCCGGGTCGCTTCCTCCCTGCGGGGCCCCCGGCGCTCCGCCCGGCCTCTCCCGGCCACGGGGCCGCTCTGCCCGCATCGCCGGTGGGCGGCCCCCTTGGGGGGCCCCGCGATGGCCCCGCAGGGGCCGAAGAGGACGAACGAACAGCACACGCCCGCACAGTGAAAACGTGTAGTAAGAACGCGTGGTGAGGACGCAAGACCCTCGGAGGCCGAAGTGGAAGTATTCTGGGCGGCAGGCGGCCAGACCCCCAGGGAACCTGCGAAACTGGCCTGCGCAAGCTGCTAGGGACGGGCCGCAGAGGCTGAGGCAGGCAAGGACCCAAGGGTACCCTTGAAAAAGTCGTTTGTCCTCACTATGCGCGTTGACTGTAGGGGGAATATGTTGGGAGGAGGGCTGGCTGTGGGTAGGGGCGCGGGCTGTCGGATCCTGGGGGCTGCTTCCCTTCGAGCGTGGGCCCCCCTTTTTACAGCACGCACCCACAGCCCCCGCCGTCCCGCCTGTGGGTATGGGTGCGTGTTGTTCGTTCGTCAGAAAACGGTGAAGACCCTCCTGCCTGTTTCTGTAAAGCGCCTGCTGAGCAGGAACCCGCCGCCCTGGTATTCCTGCAGGCCTGCCGCCCAAAAATAAACGTTCATAAAGGACGCGAGAGCGCTCCCTCCTGGGCCCGAAGTGCTCTAAACATTCTCGCGCTAGCCCCTGAGTGCTATCAGGACATTATTCGGTGAGCCTATACCAAGACCCCCGACGCCATGCTTTATTGATAACGTCGACCCCCAAAGGTCTGGACCCCTTCCTTAGGACCGGTTTATCATCCTGAGTCGTTTTTGACGGTCCCGAGGCCCGGAAAGGGCGATTGGAGGCCGAAAGTAGCGAAATACCTTCCGCCTCACTTCTCTCACAACGCCACGGGTCCTGGGCCGGCAGGTCAGGACGCTTCGCCACCGCCTGACCTCGAGATCTGGGTTCTGACAGGAGCTATGTCGACCCCTGTCCCAGACCTTGGGAGGTTTCTGCATGGACCCGAAGCTTTGGGCCCGACCCATGGAATATACGAGGGGTTGGGCGCCCGAGTTATCCGGGGTAACTCGGGTCCGGGGTAACTCGGGCTTGGATTTCCGAAAAACGAACCCGAGTTATCCCTGACCCGAGTTACCCCTGATGATTCGGGGCTCTGGACGCCCGAGTTATCCGGGGTAGCTCAGGTCCGGGGTAACTCGGGTTTGGATTCCCGAAAAACGAACCCGAGTTATCCCTGACCCGAGTTACCCCTGATGATTCGGGGCTCTGAGAGGGGGGTCGTCCATCTTCGACAGGGCTGCGTCCGAATAGCCCCGGTGTGTCCCCGGGCGGTCCTCCTTGGCCGCTCCAACCCCTCGTCGTCGAGAAGTCGAGAGCTGGGAGAGGACCGTCGCCTGCGAACCTGGAGATCGAAGGGGCCCTGGGACACACAAGTGCACAGACACAAATAGCAGGATTTCCCCACATTGGCCCACATGTTCTGGGTGTTCGTCTTCCCCCCCCCACTTCCCATACTTTCCCACCTTTTCCTGGGAGTCGACGATTACTTGTGTCTGTGTGTTCTGTTCCCTCCCGAGACATATGGGTCCCTCTCCCCGCCCCCTGCCAGTGGCCCAGAGCTCGGGGCCGCCTCCTCGGGCCGGCGGCCCTCCTCCGGAGGCCTCCCAGATATAGGGAACCGGACTGCATACCCCGACGCTTGCTTCAGCCCTGCACCGAAATTCGCACAGGAAAGCGGATCCAGGTGTATACGGGACCCTGGTGTATGCATTTTTCGCTGGTTCCTGGGGAACGGAACACCAAGTATACACCATACCGCCCCGACGTCGTCCCCAACACTCAAAAAGACCTGGGATTGAGAAACGGCCCGCCACTGGCAATGTATACGTCCCAGTTCCCGAACATAGGCTCCGAGCAGATTTGGGCCGGAGGATCGCGCCGCACCACCACTGCATCGGCGACGCATCGGCGACGTCGGCGTGGAGAAAATCGGGCTCCGCATCGCGCCGCATCGTCGATGCATCGGCGATACGGCGATCCTCCTACCCCATCTGCTCCGACCCCATCTAGGAAGCCTGAATTTGAGCAGGGGCAGACCGTCGCGGCATCCCTATAGGCGTACCACGATATGTTCTTAGAGCAGGGAAACGCTTCAATAACCAAAAACAATGCTCTTGGAGCATAAACACGATGTGCTAACAAAAAACAATCCCAAGCAGAAATGATCTGAGAACATGCCGTGCAGACCACAAGAGTTTATCACAGAACATTCTTTCATAGTCCTATCAGGCGAGCCAGGACGCCTCGCCACTGCTTGATAAACTTCGGTCGGGCCTGTCCTCCTACAGGCGGATTTCCGAGGAAAAAATAAAAACATAGCCAAAACAAACATTCAAACATCGAAAATACTGAAAACCTAGTCCCCCGACTATTTGTTGACCATTTTTGAACACTCCTCGTGAAGAGGGACAGGCCCGACTTCATGAGCGATCTCGGGGATGGACAAACCCCCCTTTAGTAAAACGTGGTTTAGTGAAAACGACCTCAAGCCCAAACCTTGCGGGCGCAAGCCTGGAAAATAACGGCCACGGCGCCCTCTCGAGAACCGAAAACGGACAATTCACTAATCGACGTGTCACTGTTGGGGGTTCTGTCCACCCCCGACAATCCTCCTCGCCCCCCCGCCGAGCTGCGGTCCACAGGTTGGGCTCGCCGGCGGGGCCGCGGTAGAGGAGGCCCTGGCGGCGGCCGGCGCGCGAGGCGCGGCCCCGCCGTGGCCTGCGCCCTGGCCCTCGCTCGGACGTCCATGCCCTGTGTTTTTGTTTCGGTTTCGTGCGTTGCTTTCTCGCCAAATGATCAGGGATGCTCCTCGATGGTCCTCGCCGAAGGAAAAATGCACACGTCCGAACGATGCCCACCTGGCGCTCGGCGCCCCCACCCCTCCGCCGCGGCCTCCGGGAGGAGCTCCCGCGGCGCTCGCGGCCCGCTCGGAGAGGCCGTGCACGGCCGGGGCCGCGCACCCGTCGTGGAGGCTCGCGCTGGGTCGGGCCCGTCCAATGTGCAGGCGGATTCGGGAAGAAGGGCCACAAATGTCGGGGAGACGTAAGGACTCGGGTATGGGGGATTCGGGTTAGCCTGACGGGGCCAACATGAAAATGACGAGGCCTCATCTGACATTTGACGCGAACTCCCGCTGCAAACATCCCACGAAAACGGGACCGTCAAAATCCAGGGCGCGCTCGTCAAAAACTGTCGGCAAACCCGAGTTCCAGCTTACTCGAATCTTACGCTCCCCCGAAAATGGTAAAAAAGGAATCCGAAATAGCCAATAAGACCAACAAAAAAGACATCGTCCCTGGACGATTGTTGGACTGCTCTTGAATGTCCCTCCTGTACAGGGACATGCCCGACAGAAGACTCGCAACTTTGACCAGCGGCTCGAGCTGAGCGCGCGTCTTCCCCCGCTTTTCCCTATCCCATGGGAAGCAAGGGGCCTGAGCACACACAAGAAAATCCACACACATGACAGGATTCCCCATCGTTTCCCATACTTTCTAAGCTTTTGTCGCCCCCCCCCCCCACACTCCCCATATTCTCGAGCGCGAAAGATACCCGTACCCTTTACCTAGACAGGGTGGCAAGGGTCCGCGGGGGCGGTTCGTCGCAGCTGACGGCGGCTGCGCAAGTGTAGAAGCGACGGCCGATCGAGCATTGCAGACCGCTGTCTTCCCGAGGCGCATGTTAGCACCGATCGCGCGTGCGCTCGAATCGGCGGAGTGGCCGACCCCGCGTTGGTTGCTGTAGATGTACACCAGCTGCATAGGAGGCGCGCACCCAGAGACACATATCGCGGCGTTGAAGAATCAACGCGCGCTCGGAGGGGGCATGCGAACAACTCTGGCGCGAACGTCACAGCGCGACAACCGCCCAGTCGCGAATTGATCGACGCAGAGACATCGCGCCTCTGAGCGCCGGGCGAAGTCGCCAGAGGCCGCCCCCCTTGGACGGCCGTCCGCGGATCACCCCAGCTAGGTACGGTTGCCCCCAGAAAACCTAAAAAACATACCCGTACCTAGCCGGGGTGTCGCAGCTCCACCCCAGCTAGGTCCGTGTATGTTTCGGTGGTTCCAGGCAGGTCCCCGTGCCTAGCCGAGGTGGCGGCAGGCCCAAAACGCTCTCGAGCACATCACATGCCCTCCAGAACCGCCCCCAACGTGGCCGCTGCGGCCCCCTGGGGGCGCGACATTGTAAAGTCGTTCCTCAAGGCATGCCCAGACGCATAGGTTGCCAGGATGATGGCGAGGAAACGCATCTTGTTATCAATTGGGACAGGCGCCACCACACATGGGCGGCTTTGAGCAGCGCGCGCACCACAATGCCCCGAGACGTCCTTGACAAAAACCAACGCTTGTCGCTGCAATCAGACACCCAACCATCGAGCGCGCCGTTGCGTCTTGACACGCGGACGCTGCGCGGGCGCGCGCGGGGCAAGCTGACCGGGCACAACAGCAAAAATCATAGACAAAAAACATACACAAACAACAAAAACAACAAGAGCAAAATAACTTACAGAAATGCAAAAACAAAGAAATCAAACACAACAAAAGAGGAAACATCAACAACAGAAACAAAAGACAAAACCACAAAACCACACAAAAGACACAAAACAAACAACAACGACAACCAAAACAACACAAAACAACAAATCAAAAAAAACCAATAAAAAAAAATAAAAACAACAAAACATAACAACAAAAGCAACGAGGGACACAAAACAACACAACACTAAAACATTACAGAAACGACAAGCAAAAAAAAAAAAAAAAAAAACAAAATAAAACACGAAACACACAACAAGCAACAACACAGACGCATACAAACCACAAAAACCATAAGCAAAAAACACAAAACACAAACAAAACAATAGCCAACAAAACAAAACAAAAAACACAACGAGAAAACGAGCAAAACGCCCAGTCCCCCGGACGGCCCATCTCACCTTGGCTGGCCCCGGGTACGGGTATCCTTCGGACCAATGACATCTTCTCCCATACCTTCGACGGCATCGACGAGGACGCGTGTGTGTGTGTGTGTGTGTGTGTGTGTGTGTGTTGTTGCTTCCCCTCCCGCGGGACGCGTGCCCCCCTCCGTTGTGGCCTCGGGGGGGGAGCTCCCGCAGGACACCCGGCCCGCTCGGAGAGGGGCCGCGGGGGGCCGACCCTGGACGACAGGGCCGCTCCGTCGGCCGGCCCCGCTTGCCGTTGCTAGGGGGCCACGTGCGAACCCTAACCCCCCCCACGCGTTCTGAGGGGGGGGGGGGTTCACTTCGCTCGGGAGCTCCCGCACGAAGCGAACCCCACCCTCCCCCTCAGAAATCGTGGGGGGCAGGGGTAGGGTCCGCATGCGGCCCCCTACCGTTGTCTTGCCGGTGCCGAAGCGTTTTCTTTTTGTTGCACTCTCCGTCGCCGTATTCTCGCTGCCAGTTCCGTCGCCGCTTTTGTATCCCGGTTCCGGCTCCGGCTCCAATACACTCGAGCCGCTTTTTTGCGGTTGCCGGTCGCCGTGTCTTGCCGTTCCCATGTTCAAGAGACGCTTTTTCGGATCTTGTGAAGAAAGCGGCCCTGCCGTTTCCGGGGCCCAATAATTAAGGCCGATCCCGGGCACCCGTAGTGCAGACTCGCAAGATTGACCAGCGGTTCGAGCTGAGCGCGCGTCTTCCCCCCCGCTTTTCCCTTTACCTGTCCCCCCTGGAAGTGGGCCCCAAGGAACCCCCCAAAGACATCCAAACTGACCCCAAGCAGCCAAGAAATCCCGAGTGTCGGTCCTGGAGCTTCGATTTCCAAAAAGAACTGGTGAACCCCCTAGTGCTGGTGGTGAACCCCCCTCGGCACTGCCCGAAGCCCCGCCCACTCGGAGAGGCTGTGGGAAGGACACGAGTGATGTCATGATGCAGTTGGCCCATGTTGGCCCATGATGCTTCCCAGGAGTTCCAGGGCACTCATCGACCCTCATTGCTGGAGTCCGCGCGGAGCAACAATACATGGTTCCAGACGGCACCGATCCGTCCGAAGCCTACGGCGTGCAGAGCCAGATCCTGCACACTCGGGGATCGCACAAGCCTACGGCGTGCAGAGCCAGATCCTGCACACTCGGGGATCGCACACAACTCGGACGAGGATGACGACGACGAAGACACTTGCACAGAAAAGGAGGGCGAGAGACGAAACGACAAAAGGGGGCCACCGAACATCTGTGACGCAAAATCTGGAACGCATCCGTCTCCTGTCCTCTTGCTCGTCCGAACGGGGGGGGGGCGACGACGTGCGCCAGCCGTGCGAGCGCCGCGCAAAAGCCTGGCCTCGCAGGTTGGCTGGCCACTCGATCTGAGCGCGCGCCTGCGTCCTTGCTAGGGCACCGAGCTCTATACACCGACGCCTTTGCCTGGCCTCACACTGAATCTCGCACAGGGAGGCGGATCCTGGTGGATACGGGATCCTGGTGCATACATGTTGCGCTGCTTCCCGGGGGAAGCGGGGGAAACAAGTATACGCCGCACCACCCCGACGTCGCCCCCCGACCCTCCAACAAAAATCCTGGGACTGAGAAGCAGCCCGCCACTGGTACTGCATACACGTTCCAGTTGCCGCCTTGCCCCCCCCCCCCCCCCTGCCGGGGCCGCCCCTCCTCGCTTAGGGGGGCACATGCGAACCCTACCCCTACCCCGACGTCGTCCCCGACCCTCCAACAAAACATCCTGGGACTGAGAAGCAGCCCGCCACTGGTACTGCATACACGTTCCAGTTGCCGCCTTGCTCGTTAAAGGCTTAACGACTTCTGCCGTCCTTCGACTCGCGCTGGAGCGGCCGCGAAATGCTCCAACTTTCCCTGGAGATCTCTGGATTTATATGGATTTATCCGGATGTACCTCGATCTGCCTGGATTTACCCTGATTTATCTCGATTTATCTGCATTTACCTGGACCTATCTGGCTCGACTCCCACAAGTCGATTGGCGAAAAGTCGATACGCCCTTAGGGATGCCCCCCCACCCTGCCGCGGCCGCCCCTCCTCGCTGCTCTTCGGCGGCGGGGCGGGGCGTGGAGCGGCGCAGGGCCCCGCGGAGAAGCGCGGGCCTCTTTCTTGAGCAGGGGCCGACCGCCCCGGCAGTCCTCTGGTCATACCACGAAGTGTTCGGGTCGGGCGAAAGGGGGGGATAGCAAAGGGGGGGTTTGAAAATCAGCTCACGTAGCTGATTTTCCCGGCGCCTCCCTGCGCCGGGAGGCGCCCATGTATCGAGGAATGGGCCCCTCGGTGAGGCCGAAATCAGCTGCATGCAGCAAATTTCGTAACCCCCTTTCCCAATCCCCCCTTTCGCCCGGCCCGAAATATTCGTAGAACCCCAAAAATGCTCTAAGAACAAAGGCTCTGTTCTTCGAACGTGAACCCGATGTGATAAAACAAGACAGGCTCCGCCAGAACTGTTCTGAGAACAGTTCGTGGAAGCCACAAAAGGCTATTGGAACATTGTCTGGTGGGGCTATAGGCGAGCCAGGACGCTTCGCCGCTGCCTGAGCCTCCCCGTCTGCAGCTCGGCGGGCCGGCGACGGCAGAGCGCGCTCCTCTGGGCCTCCAATCGGGGAGTGCTCCGCGTCTGCGGGGAAGCGCTCGGGCAGCTCCCTCCGAAGGCCGGGGGACCACCCGTGGGACGCGCAGGGACAGAGCTACCAATGCTACACGTCCTCATTGGAGGCGCGCGTCCGACCCGAACATTTATAGCACCACCACCAACAACAGCCGCAACAACACCACCAACAACAGCGGCAACAACAACAACACCCATAACAACAACAGAGACAACAACAACAGCAACAACAGCAATAACAACAACAACATCAACAACAACAACAACAATAACAACAGCAGCAGCAACCGCAACAACAGCAGCAACAGCAACAGCAGCAGCAACAGCAACAGCATCAACAGCAGCAACAACAACAACAACACCTGCAACACCAACAACAACAACAACAACCACATCAACGACACCAACAACATCCATAACCACAACAACAACAACAACAACAACACCAACACCAGCAACAACAACAACAACAACAGCAGCAGCAACAACAACAACAACACCAACACCAGCATCAACAACAACTCGACAAGCAGAATCCCCACCACGGATCCCCACTTGAGCCACGCACCCAGGGACAATGAATGACCGTTCGGCCCCCTCGCTCTGACCCATCTGTTAGTATATCGTTTCCCGAGCGGTGCGGCCAGAGATGATCGTCCGCCACGACGCATATCTTATAAGATTTCTCAGTGCGCGCGTCGCCCCTGGGGTGGCGACGCACACATAGTATTAACATGTTTGGGCGACGCCGGTTCCGAGCCTTCGGAGAAGGCCACCCCCCTTTCCCCCCCTTGGGTAGCCACCGACTTGTTGCCTCGTGTGCTCACATCTCGATGCCGTAGCCGGGTGTTCCGCTTCAACCGCGCTGGGCGTCCGACAGCAGTGCGCCGAAAAAGAATGGACCAGTGGCAGGCGCCTTATGGAAGAGCCGAGAAGACCCAAGGCAAAGAAGGCCAGGTCGCACGGCCAATGAACACGAGCAACCGCACAAAGCGCTTCATCGCAAGATGTGGTCGCCGGTCTCAACCTGTCAAGGCACTGCACATGACGAGCCCAACTCTTGATGTGCACATGCGCGCACGCGGCGAGGATGAAGGAGGGGAGGAGGGACATTCGCCAAGACAAAGAGGACGAACGCAGGCGGTCAAAACCAAAAAGAGAAAGGAGAGGTCAACCCGAGGCGGCGGCGGCAGCGGCACTGTTCCAGTGAAAGACAACCTTCTGATAATCCCCGATCGCACCAAACCTGCAAAGCCGCGAATCAACGTGACACTGCGGTCGGACAGTCTTCTGTTCCTGGGAAGCCAACACCGCGAATCAACGTGCCTGTTGCGTTCTGGCAAGAGAGAGGAGGGAGAAGGAAGAAGGAGGAGGAGGAGGAAGAGGAGGGAGGAGGAGACAGGAGGGAGGTAGGAAGAGGAGGAGGAGGAGGAGGAGGAGGAGGAGGAGGAGGAGGAGGAGGAGGAGGAGGAGGAGGAAGGGGAGGAGGGGGGAGGGAAAGGTAGGAAGAGGAGGAGGAGGCTGAGGATGAGGAAGGAGGAGGAGGAGCAGGAAAAGGAGAAGGGAGGAGGAGGCGACCACGGCGGGGAACCAGAGGAGGAGGAGGAGGAAGGGGAGGAGGAGGAGGAGGAGGAGGAGGAGGAGGAGGAGGAGGAGGAGGAGGAGGGGGGGGGAGCCGAGCTGACATCCCGAAGCCTTTTCCAAACATAATGGCCCCCCGAGACCGCCAGCAGGCCCCCCAGAGGCCGCTGGAGGCCCCACGCACTCCCCCAGGTGGCCCCCGAGAAGACCCAGGAGGTGCCCAAATGCCACCAAGGAGGGCCCCGAAAGGCCTCCCAGGATACCAAATGCCCCTCAAAGAAGCGTCTTGCCCCCGGCCCACTTTGGCCCCAGGAAGCCATCGAGGGGCCTCCGCCTCCTCGTCCTCCTCTTTTTCCTCCTCCTTCTCCTTCCCGCTCGTTACGAGCACGCCAACACAGCAACCGTGATGCAATATATGGGTCAACGGAGCGATCGATGGCGAGGGACGTCTCTGGCAAAACGCCAGGCCCGCCCTGCTGACACGTCTGGGGGTTCAGCAGGGACGTACTCTTCAAGAAGGAAAATAATGGAGGAGGGAGGGAGGGAGCAGGCGGAGGAGGGGGAGGAGGAGAGGGAGGATGCGGAGGAGCGGGGGGTGGAGGGGTCGGAGGGAAGGAGCAGGAGGAGGAGGGAGCAGGAGCAGGAAGGGAGGGAGGGAGGCAGAGGAGGGGGAAGACGGAGCGAGGAGCAGCAGGCGAAGGAGGGGGGAAGAGGGGGAGCGAGGAGCGAGAAGTCTGGGGACGACGCGCCTCCCAGGACCAGTCCACGAGCAGCGCCTGGCCGTACCTCCTGGCAGCGAAGGCCGGCGGCCGGCGGGGGTCCGGCGGCTGGTGGCGCCACCCTCTGATGTCTCGAGGCCGACCTGCCAGGCCCAGCCCTCCTCTCACTCACCTCCTCCCCCTCCTCCTCCTCCTCCTCCTCCTCCTCCTCCTCCTCCTCCTCCTCCTCCTCGATCATCCTACTCCCTCCTCCTCTTCCGCCTCCTCCTCCTCCTACTCCTCCTCCTCCTCCTCCTCCTCCCCCTCCTCCTCCGCCTCCTCCTCCTCGTCCTCGTCCTCCTACCTTCGCCTTCCTCCTGTAATCCCCCAACGACCCCATCCCCATCGCCCCACCCGGCCTGTGCTCTGGAGGCGCAGGGGTGGGGTGGGGAAGAGGGAAGAGCCTCCTCCCGGAGGTGGGAAGGCGAAGGAGGAAAGGCAAAGAGGGGAAGAAGAGGGCGGGGAGGAGCGGAGAAGACGAGGGGGGGATTGGGGCTAACGAACTCCTGTGCCATGCCCGCTCTCGTCGGCTCGTGTCTCGTGCCAGCCGCTGGTCGGCAGCAGAAGACATCTCGCTTCTCGGTCCTCCATGTTTTTTGTTTCTCTCTCTCTCTCTATCCTCCCTGTCCTCTCCCTTGTTGCCCTGTTCGAGCATGGTGGAGTTCCCTTCCCATCGATCGGATGCACGCCCGCCGAACTCCCTCGCCCGAGCGTCCGACGCGGGGGTGCACCGAGGCCACCACCTCGCCAGACGGCCAGGGACAGTCGAGGGGCAGGGGGGGCCTCCTCCTGCTCCTCCTCCTCCTCCTCCTCCTCCTCCTCCTCCTCCTCCTCCTCCTCCCCCTCCTCCTGCTCCTCCTCCTCCCCCTCCTCCTGCTCCTCCTCCTCCTCCTCCTCGTACTCCTCCCCCTCCTCCCCCTCCTCCTCCTCCTCCTCCTCCTCCTCCTCCTCCTCATCCTCCCGGCCCGATGCTAGCTAGCATTCCCGCGCAGTCGAAAAGAAGTGGCCTCGACAGGCCACAGCCCCACCCGAGAGGGGGTCAATACGAGATCTCCCATCCTACCTGGTTGAACCATGCAGCGTCGGCGCCTCTAGTCTCAGAACGGACGTGTTGGCGTCGACGCCGCAAACTTTCTGGCAAGGAAGGGGCGCTGTGCACCTCCCGCGCGAGAGAGGACGAACTGCTGCTCTCGATCCGGCGCCGCGCCCGGTCTCCCTGAGAGTTGAGCCCCCGCTCGGGCGCGATACTCTCGCGCGCCAATTCGCCGACGCACGAGCGGACGAACACGTCGCTCTCGCCTCGGCGCCGCGCAGCTTTCACTCGGAAGTGGCGCTCCCACCCCGGCGTGGCGCGAAATGTTCACCTGCCACGTGCTGAGGCTACGGGCGAGCTGGGGACTTGTCGGCGGCGTCCCGTTCCTGCGCGCTGTTTTGGCCATGCGAGCAGGGCGCACCGCTGCCGAGGAGAGAGGAGGAGGAAGAGAGGAGGAGGAGGAGGAGGAGGAGGAGGAGGAGGAGGAGGAGGAGCATGACCTCCCATCCTCCCTCCTCCCCCGTCTTACCTGTGGTAGCGGTGGTGGAAGCATTGGCCCACCAAATGTTGCTGCGGCGCGGCGCACGCTCCGGCTTCGCATCGCTCCTCCAGCCCCTGCGCGGCCCGCAGAATTTCCCCTGGCCCAGCCGTCGGAAGCGGGAGCGTGCGCGAACGCCTTCTGCTCGCGCGACGGGAACGCGCTCCGGTCCTCCTCCTCCCTCCTCCCCTCCTCCTCCTCCTCCTCCATCTCAGATGGTGCCACCATCGACTCTCAGATCACGGGGGCGGGAGTGGGCATGGGCGGGCCCCGCTGATCCGCTCGACCTGGCAAGCTGGTCCCTCACGCCCTACTCGTACACCTCCTCCTCCTCCTCCTCGTCCCCATCCAGCTCCTCCGTGCCCCTCCATCCTCCATCTGCCCTTCTCGCCCTCTTTGAGGACACCAAGAGGTACCGATACCGCTACTCCCTGACCTCTGCCAGGCTGCGTCCTGACCAGGACTTCGAGGCGAATCCAGCGGTGGCGACGAGGGCCTCCCAGGAAGCCCAAAAAGGGGAAAGCGTCCTCGGGTAGCGAGATAGGTCACCAAAGTGTTGGGCGCTACATCGACGACGAGGCCGGCCTCGACAGCAGTGGGCTTCTTCAATGTACGGTCTGAGGCAATCTCGCCTTCCTCCCTCCCCTCCCCATTCTTAGTTTCGCAGCACCCATTGTACACTTGCAGTTCATGTTTTCCGTTCGGTTGCCAATGTCGCAACCTGCGTTTGCCAACGCGTCCCACCGGATGCACGGCCGAGCGACTGAGCGAGCGATCCTCCTCCTCCTCCTCCTCCTCCTGCGCCACCGGGGGCGGGAGGCTCCTGCGAAGCTCGACCTGGCCCATGGCCATGGAGAACATGGAGAAGAGGCCGTGGGGGTGCTGCGGGACACAGCGCGGCATCAGAGGGGGGAGGTGGATGGCAGGATGAGCCTCCTCCTCCTCCTCCTCCTCCTCCTCCTCCTCTTCTTCCTTCGCCTTCTCCTCCATTCCTTCTCCTTATAGATAGCTCCTCCCTGTCGCACCCCGAGGCCAGTTTTCAGGGCGGGCCGGGCATTTCGCCTGAGACCTCCTCACCATTTAAGACTCTGACGCTCTAACAAATGGCAACAGCTTCACGGATTGAGGGCGGGTCGTTTTCAAAATGTGGCTCTCGCCTTAGCGCCGCGCACACTCGTCTACAAAAAAATACAAAGAGCTTCACGGATTGAGGGCGGGTCGTTTTCAAAATGTGGCTCTCGCCTTAGCGCCGCGCACATTATTTTCAAACATTTGCAAGAGTTTCATGCGTTGAGGGCGGGTGGTTTTCAAAATGTGGCTCTCGCCATAGCGCCGCGCACATTCGTTCTAAACAGTTGTCAGAGCTTCACAGATGGATGAAGGGTGGTCTTCAAATGTGGATATCGCCTTAGCGCCGCGCACATTCTTTGTTACAAATTGGAAGAACTTGGCGGAGTCTCATGATCAACGTACCAGAAATGGTGTTTGGAAGGATTCACGAGCATGCAGCCGCAACAGTTATGTTGATTCGCTGTGTGGAATTCCCCCCAACAAATTGCATTATGGCGCGATTCTGGATCGTCAGGACGCAGCAGTCTGGTTGATGTGTTGGTTTGAAATGCCGAGAACACTGTTTTGGCACGCTTCAAGATCTTCAAACTGGTGTCTTCCAACGAGGCAGTTCCCTCCATGGAAATGCACCGTTGTAGGGGTCTATGAAGAGGAAGCTTGGAAGGAAGGTTAATTCCAACATCGTTCATGACTCTTGGGTTTCCACTGGTCCTCCTCCTCCTCCTCCTCCTCCTCCTCCTCCTCAGCCTTCTCCTTCTCCTCCTTTTCCTGCTCCTGCTCCTGCTCCTGCTCCTGCTCCTGCTCCTGCTCCTGCTCCTGCTCCTGTTCCTGCTCCTGCTCCTGCTCCTGCTCCTGCTCCTCCTCCTGCTCCTGCTCCTGCTCCTCCTCCTCCTCCTCCTCCTCTCTCCTCCTCCTCCTCCTCCCTCCTCCTCCTCCTCTCCTCCTCCCTCCACCTCCCCTCTCCTCCTCCTCCTCCTCCTCCTCCCCCTCCTTCTCCTTCTCCTGCTCCTCCTCCTCCTCATCATCATCATCCTCTTCCCCCTCCGCATCGCTTCGCAGGTCCCCAACCCAACTGGCACGGGCTTGGCCCCAGTGGCCGATCTATCCCCCTGGATGGGAATCTGTGCCGTCCCCTGTGGGCCAGTCGGGGTCTATATTCCCATCCAGGGTGGGTAGGCTGGTGGGGCCGAGACATCCCTGCGCAGTGGGGATGGGGATGGGCCAAACGATGCTGAGAAGGGGGAGGGAGGCCAGAGGTGCGAGGCGGAGGCTTGTTCACGGCTGCCGCCAGGGGGATCGATGCACCGGGTGCCTCGGCACGCGGTGGATATGGATACACTTGCCAGCCCCCCACCCCCGACAAAGGGCAGACAAAATCCGCATCCACCGCCTGCGGAGGTCCCGGAGGATGGTTCCAGGATCGACTCCCCAGGCGGTGGTCGTTGCACAGCTCGTGCGAGGGGCGCTGGCGCGGCTAGGCTCGGCATGTCCCCGAGCTCGAGCAGGGGATGGTCCACAGACTCGATCTACCCGAACATAAATAATACCGTCGAGTCATACGTCGAATGTTCGTAGACCTACAAACGATATACGCTCTTGCATAGAATCGACGAGAAGATCACCTTTGGGGTAAATGAATTTCTTACGACGATCGAAGAGTACGAGCGTCCACGGATTAAAGGGAAGAGAGGATCTGCGGCGGGACAACATCACAAATGCGTCTCAAGTTCTCGCAAACTGAAGCAATGGACGGCTCTCCTTCTTCTCTCCCGCTTGCTCCTCCAACCGACTCGCACCCCATCCTCGTCCTCCCCCTCCTGGTCCTCCTGCCATCCTGTTTTAGAAACTTCTCCAAGCAGCTCTTCCGCACCCCATCGCGCATCCGCAGCACCTCTCACGCTTCGTGGACCCAGGGGGAGCTCCAACGAAGGCTTCAGTGACAGCGCCTGTATGCGGTTCCACCCTTTCGGCGGACCCCTCGAACGCCTCGTGGCCACATAGGAAGCAACACCGAAGACTCCAGCAGCAGCGCCCGCACGCGCACCCCTCACACGTTTCGTCGCAACATCTGGAGTTCCACCGAAGGCCCCAGCGGCAACGCCCGCATGTGGTTCACACATAATGCCGGCGCACCAGTCACACGCTCCGTCGGCCCATAGGAAAACAACAAAGTGCCTCGGCAGCAGCGCCCGCATGCGGCTCCACCCTCCAATTTCGGCGCACGCCTCAAACGCTTCGTGGCTCCGTAGGGAGCTCAACCGAAGGCCCCAGTGGACGCGCCCGCGTGCGGGTCCGCCCCCCTTTTCGGCACACAGCTCACCCAAATCGTGGCACCATGGGGAGATCCATCGAAGGCCTCAGCGGCAGCATCCGCATGTGGGAACAATCGCGCACTTCGGCGGACCCCTCGCACGCTTCGTGGCCCCATAAGAAGTGTAACCAGTGGCCCCAGTGGCAGTGCCCGCATGCGGCTCCACCATCCCATTTCGGCGCACACCTCAAACGCTTCGTGGCCCCGTAGGGAACTCCACCGCGAAGACCCCAGAGGCAGCGCCCACATGTGGTTCCATCGCGAATTCCGGCGCACCCCTCACAAGGAGCACAACCAAAGGCCTGCGGCAACGCCCGCATGCAGTTCCACCCACCCGTTTCGGCGCACCGCTCCCGAATGGCAGCACCCGCATGGCGTTCCCGCGCGCACACACACACACGCACACACATACACACTCACACACACACACACTCACACACACACTCACACACACACACACTCACACACACACACACACACTCACACACGTTGGCACACCCGTCGCACGCGCCGTGGCCGCACAGAACTCCACCCAGGACGATACCCACAAATGCGCTACCCGCTAACGCTCGAGCCCTGCTACCCTGACCAAGCAACCCTGTTCTATGCACTCGGGCCACCGATTCTCATCCGTTTGGCGCCTGGCCGGTTTGTTCTTGCGTTCCTTTCAGCCTTGCGCCTTTCGTCACTCTCAACGCTCGGGCGGCAAGCGTATGCTTTGTAGCCGATGGGCGAACCTGGAGCGGGCACCCCAACCTGCCACTCACAACGTAGCGACCATCCTCCATCCAGCCACGGATCGACCGCCTCCTTGACGCGCCCATCGTCCGGTGGCAGCTCGCTTCTAAACGCAACCTCTGGCCCCAATGGGTTTTCACCTCCACCGTCCACGATTTAACCTTGCCCAACACATAGCAGAACAACCCATCCCAGCAAAAAACCCTTCTTACCGCTTATACAATCCTTCCTGCCCGTTGCTCAGACATCGCCACCACATGTGCGAGACCGTGAATGCGACGCCCAAGGCCTCCTGCATACGTACTCCGCGACTGGTCACGACCGCGCCACAGCTGTTGAGTTTAAAAATCGTTTTCGAACATCCTACAGATCAAGGCTGCACCACAGCACGATCGCGAGGCATCCCCCAAGGAACACACAACACACAGAGACACAATGATCACTCATCCACAAACGTGGATGCAATGAGTTGTTACCGACGTACAAGACAATGGCGCTGCGACATGACATTGTGGTGCCATTGGACGTATACCTACTTAGGTCTTGCCAGGCAGGTTGCTGAAGGTTCCTGGTGCGCGTGTAATGTGGCTCGGTCATGTGAACCTGGGCCCTCTACTTGAATGCGTCACACATGTTGCTACGCGAAACGCATTCACGATATAAGCCTCCCGACCTTCATCTGGCACCTGCCATCAGAGGCTCCACACCAACGAACTACGTTCTACCACCGTGTTGCTACGGTCCTACTCTAACTTAGCGCGTCGCGTCGGCAACTCCTGCGACACGATATACCTTGCCAACAGTGTGCGTGTCGATCCGCTTCGTGGCACGAGGGGCTTGGAAAAGATATGACATTTGATGCATGGGGACTGGCATGCGGTTAGCGTGTCACACCGGATGGTGATGGCCAGAACCCGCGGCGCGACACTTTTAGGTACGCAGGCGCACGAATCAAGTCCGACGCAGGGCAAGCAGGCACAGGCTATGCCACCTGCGAAGGATAACGCAAGGCAACGGTGGCGCGACACGCTAAGCAACAGTTCCTGCCGAGATCCTGGGGCACCACGGACATACAGCTTAATGCACCTTGCCGAGCTGGATTCTTCTACGCACTCAGCTTGAACCTCGCCCACAGGGGCTCACACGCTGGCGAACCAAAGGTCGCGCGGCGTGCAAGACACGTATACGAGTTATGCGAGGCACCCCAGCCACGCCGAGAAGAACCTCCAAAGGTCCCCCTACCCGCAAAGACGTCGTCGACAGAAGTGCTCACCAACGGGGGAGCGGGCAGAAGCGAAGGGAGGCGAGAAGGAGAAGGCACATGAGGGTTGGGGTGAACAACAGGAGAGAGAGAGAGAGAAGAAGATGAGGTGGGCAATCCGCACTGCGAGTCGGCGCGGGCGGGGCTGGGCGGGGCGCGACCCTGCAGTGCCACACCACCAGCGGCGCGCGGGCTACTGTGGCAGGCGTCCAGCACGGTGCTGCGAACTGCGGGTGCCGATGGAGAGGTGCTCCGCTAATACGCGTTTTCGCTCATTCCTGGTATCTGTATTACCATCACCGTTGCCGCTGGAATCGGCACAGTCATCGCAACAACCACTGCTGCAAACCCTGTACAATGTTCCACGTACTACGCGCTAAAGTGCAAGCGCCACACCAGCCCAACTTACGATTACACCAGCAGCATCCAGTGACACTGCTCCTCCCACCGCAAATGAGCAGCACACATGATCATGCTACACTGATGCAAGCCAATGTGAGG